TGTGCAGTCAAGGCAGCTGCTTTATCGTATTTGTCAGAGAATTCCGTCGCATGAAGTCCTAGCGTGAGTAGCGCTCATAGCACTAGTGCATGCACGCAGGTAACTGATGAGCGTGGGTGCATTTACTACTTTCCGGCACTAGTGCTTGATTATTGGCGTTGAACGCTTGCATGTACGTAGCCAACATCCATTGCGCTCTTCCAATGCACCCATTCAGATTCTAGATTTATACGTGAGTCGCCTAACATCGCCGGCCGGGGACTCATCAGTTCCATCGGCCATGTTCATCCATGGCGGCCAGGAAGAGCAGTCTACAGAGTCGGTGCAGGTTGGGTTGTCGGCGCCGCCGGTGACGCCGATGACGACACCGATGCCAAATGGGACAGCAGCGAGCAACTCTTCACCATCGCCATGCCTTACACCAGCAAGATTAGTTACAGTGAGTCCTCTTCAACCAGTATCGCCGGCAACCATGGTGACTCCAGATAAGGAGAAGACGTACATGCATGTGAGTATATTTACTAGCTTCGAATAGTAGCATGGAAGTCGTATGATAAGGAGAAATATTTTATTTAGTATTTGCTTTGTACTGTTTTTTAAATTCAGTCTACGAAATATTTCTTAATGCGCAAAATCTCGTAAAGATTTCTTTGTGCAGTTTCTCGTAAATATTATTACTGAAAATTCTCGTAAATGTTTCTTGGTGTAAATTCTCGTAAAAATATTATTAGTACAGAATATTTCGTAGTGCAGATTCTCGTAAATATTATTAGTGAAAATTGTTGTAAATGTTTCTTTGTGCCAATTGTGGTAAAATTTCTTGATATGAACTGCTGTAATCATAGTGGAAAATTTTTAATTACTACGGTATATACTATGTGTACATAAGAATCTATCGACGGTGTTGGGATAATTTGTACTGTATGACCAGTAAATGTTCAGTGTGATCATAAAGTTGTTGTCTGTGAAATAGGAACCCTTGTTACCTGAAGCAATGGTGCCAAACGATGAGTTGTGTTTCAACAGTAGTGATGAAGCTAAGGAGTTTTACTACAAATATGCGAGCAAAGCAGGATTCGACGTTCGCATAACCAAGAGCCATAAAACTGTTATTGAGTTGAACTGCAATAAACAAGGGCACTGGGATTTCTACAAGCCCGGGGAGGACAGAGTCAGAGAGAAAATGTCAATGAGGTGTGGATGCATGGCATTTGTGAAGGTTAAATGGAACATTAAGAAGGGGTATTGGTTTTCTGAGAGGATACGGTTGGAACACTCTCACCCCCTGCATCCGTCGCCAAGCTTAACACAATACATGAAGGCGCACAAGGAGAAGGACCCAACGATCATGGGGATTGTTGATCAGATGCAGAGGTGTGATGTACCCCTCAATGCAACCGTTAATGTGTTGTCAGACATATATGGTGGTCGGCAAAACTTCACATTCATAGAGATGGACTTGAAAAATAGGTAATGTAGATAGTACAGTACTTTCACAGCATCTCATCTCATTTGGTAATTTATCTGTTTAAATGGATTTGTTTGATGTTGTGATTTCAGGATAGCTGCAGCTGCCAAGGTGGAGAGGGAAAACGATATTCCCAGGCTGCTAGAGTTCTTTTCGGAGATGAAGGCTCAGAATGAATATTTCTACTATGAGGTAGAGGTGGACAACGAAAACATTGTAAAGAATGTTTTTTTGGAGTCATGCAAGCCAGCGTGCAGAGTATATAGATTTTGGAGATGTTGTCACATTTGACACCACATACAAAACTAATATGTATAACATGACCGTGGTTATGTTTGTCGGTTCAAACCATCACCTACAAAATGTCGTGTTTGGGCAGGCACTTTTGCAGGATGAGCAAGCTGACATGTTTGAGTGATTGTTTAAATCATTCCAAAAGTGCATGACTGGGAGTCGTGATCCAAGATGTATACTCACAGGTTAGAAAACAAAATTTTCTTAAATATTTCTCAAAGATAGGATACAAAATTCTAGTAAATGTTTGTTATTGCAATTTCTCGTAAATGTTTCTTGGTTCCAAATTATCGTAAATATTTCTTAGTGCAAATTCTCGTAAATATTTCTTAGTGCAAATTCTCGTAAATATGTCTTGGTGCTAATTCTCGTAAATACTTCTTAGTGAAAATTCTCGTAAATATGTCTTAAAAATGTTTTGACTTCTCGTAAATTCTCATGATTATATCTCGTAGATGTATGTTATGATTTTTAACTTCATGTTTTGTGGTACAGATCAGGATCCAGCCATGGCTTTAGCCATCAGTAGGGTGTTTAAAAAAACTCAACACAGGTTGTGTCGTTGGCACATGCTGAATAATTATCGAAACGAGCTGAAGAAACTATACAAGTTGCATGAGGGTCTTAAGATAAAATTGCTCACTGTGATGAATCACCCGCTTACACCTGTAGAGTTTGAGGCAGCATGGAATGAGTTGGTGGATGAATATGGTATACGTGAAGATGAAGCTATTCAGGGTCTTTGGCAGAATAGGCACTTATGGGTTGCGGCTTATCTGAAACCCTTGTATTGTGGGAGGATGACTTCTACACAAAGAAGTGAAAGTGTGAATAAGATGCTCAAGAGTAGGCATTTCACAGGTCATATGACATGCATAAGCAAATTTGCACGCAAGATGCTTGAGTTCATTCAGCACACAAATCACACGGCGGCAGGAGAAACACATTGGTCACAGGTAAGATCATAAGCAGTTGTTGAAACTGAATTAGTATCAACTTGTATGTATATAAATACTGTCTAAATACGATAAAGATTTACCTGTTGCTTATGTTGACTAAATGTTTGGTGTGTTTGTATATGAAATAGGCTGATAATTTCCGTGTGACCTTGCAACGCTTTGATGTCCATTTGAGCAGGGTGTACACAAGGGCTGTGTACAAAAAGTACAGGGATACTTATTTATACAGTATCGCATTTCGTATTGATCCTGATGTGGACAACATTGATAGTTACCTGGTGACCCACACGAATCAGTCTTGGAAATATGCATGGTTTCAACATTCTTTCAAAGTGGAGGCAAATGTGAGAGAAGGTAAATACACATGCGAGTGCAAGACATGGGAGCATACCGGTAAGATAGTGTTTTAGTAAAGTAAGGCTAGTATATTTTCATCATTATATTGTTATGGTAATCGTATTAATTATATGTACAAAATTGATCATTTCAGGGTTGTTCTGTGCTCATCTTATTAAAGCTTTCACATACCTGCAAATTGAAAATATACCTTCAGAATATATAAAGAAGAGGTACACCAGGGATCCTAGGATGATGGTAACTTGGGACAGGAATGACATTGTGAATTTGGGAGAAGACTGTGAATATGAACGGTATAATACCAAGAAGCTAGTTGAAGTTGCAATGATGGCGGTAAGGGCACTCCACAAAACAAAAATTGGACTTCAGAGAGGGTGTGAAGATTTCATGGCATTAGCTGAGTGGGGTGAATCCGTTGCTAGAGATACTGGAGCAACATTGATTGGGGACAATGGAAATGAAGGAGTTGCGGCAAATATAGTAAGAGAAGAACATCAAGCTCCTACATTTGGGGAAGGAGAGGAAACTGAAACTGGTAGGGGATCCCCAGTCACCTCCAAATATAAACCATGAACTGATATTAGAGTGTGCACCGAGGGAGGCAATGACAAAGGGTAGGAAGCGCGGAGGGAAAAGGCCCGAAAGAGATGAGACCTGTAACAAGAAGTCAGGGGCACCCGCATTTGTTCCCATTGCGGATTGAAGGGCCATTATATTACGGGATGTCCTACAAACCCAGATAATGCTCCAAAGAAAAGAGGAGGCAGTGGTAGTTTGCGTGGTAAAATGGGACGGAAGAGAGAGAGGCCACCCACAAAAAGGCAATTGGAGGATGAGTTTGATGATGTCGCATGAAATGGGTGGATTGGTGCACAAACCTAGAAATTTTTTTGTTTAAAATGTCGTTACTAGTAATGATGTATGAATAATTAAGTACTATGAAAAGTGGTAATAATATATAAGTATTGTGTGGTTAAGTTTGGGGTACGTGGTCTCTGTGAATTTGTATCTGAATTTATCTTTGAAAATATTTTGAATGTGATAACATATTTGAATAATTTATTCTAGGGAGAATAAAGCACGTACCAATTGACAAGTTGGATATTCAAGAAACAGTTACGAGGACCATTTTGATTGATGAATATAAGTATTTACTATATCACTGATGAGACATTGGTAAAAGTTACGACATGACATCAGTATGACTCAATAATTATGCGATTTTTGTATCATGACTACTACGCCAGCCGAACTCACAATAATCGCCCTGTTCGTTTGGGATTGTTTGGCTTATAAGCCATGGCTGAAAGTACTGTTGGCTGGTTTGGTGTGAGAGAAAAATACTGTTCGTTGGCTGATAAGCCATGGTTTATAAGCCAAATACGACCAAGTGAACAGGCTGATTCAGAGACTTATGTGCTACGAACACACGGATTTACGAGAATATTTTAATAATATCAAGGAACCACATACTGAGGATATTGGATATCAGAAGATAACATGGTAGAATTGGACTACGACTATCTTCAGGAACTTGTATAGGGAATATTTACGAGAATTTTGTATAATGCATACTGCTCCGGCCGTAACTCACAATAATATTTACGAATTCGGTGCTATGAAGATATGGATTTACGAGAATAGTTTAACAATTGGTAAACCACAAAATTGACAAAATTGAATATCCAAATAAAAATAGTAGATTTCAACACAAAGTGACCATAGTATAGGTTCGGAGTACAGATAAATATGTCACACAATGAATCCAGTATAAGAAGTGAAACTACGAAAACAAGGTCTCAAATTTGATTTTGGTAAATTGGCTCGTCGATGACCAACAGTAGCGGTGAAGTAAAAATACAGTATCTGAGGCATCCATATTTATTCTGGCATTCCAAAGGAGAATGGTCCCAACGTGATGTTCATCGACGTGGCTTGAGTGCTTCTAGTCCAGCAGGAAGCTTCTCAATAGTGTTGATTTGGTGATAGATGGCGTAGTAGAGAAGCTGATCTCTATACATTGCCGCATTTTCCTGGTTTTGCAGTGAAAGGAGATCAGCAACATTGCAACACAGAGGCAGAGTCTTGGATGACAAAGTAAGTACAATGTTAGGACATACCGTGAGGATTGGAAGATGGAAAGATTCACCATTCCATAACTCCATGAATTTGATGGCAAAGAATCCACTGCCGATGGCATTGCGCTGCAGCGGGACAGGTAGGATGGGTCGCCTGAATCGAGTAAACGACTTAAACTTACCGTCTGTGGCCTCCTGGAACAGAAGATTGAGCCTTGGAATAATTCTATTTCCCACAACTTCATGGTAAAGCCTATGGTCATCAGGACTAGAATCGAGTATATCTATTCGGTCATGTATAAGGTTGATGTAGTAAACAGTATAGTGGTCCTCCTCCATAATCGGCAAAAAGAACTGCCAATTCCCAAAAAGATATTAGTAAGGAAACTGTAGTTAATATACATTTCATGGAATGAGAAGTAATACTTACTAGCTTAACATTAGTTGTGTCAACAACAGCAATGTCACTCTCTAGAATTTCAAGGGCATTATGAAACTCCCACTGTTCAAATTCCTCCTCATCCTCCATATTGACGTATTCCTAGAAAGACAGTTGAGACATATTAGTAATAAGCTGAAATTTTGTTGGCACGGTTGTTATGGTGTTCTTTGTGTGGACTCACCCCAATCCGGTGGGATAGGAACACCCTGTAGCCACCACCATCAGGCATGCGGACTGATTCGTCATGGCTCAAGCATTGAACAAGGACATAAATTTGCTCGAAAGCTCCTGATCATCAGGGAAGGAATCTAATATTTCATTGCCAGTGAATTCTATGAACCCTGTGCTAATGAAAACCCGACTGGTATGGAAAAAAGGTAGTCGTCAGTAACTTGTAGGATGATACAAAATTTGAGAAGGGGTCGTAAGCCGTACTTTAAACTCTTGAGACTTAGGGAGAAACTTCTTCCTCACAGCTAGTACCTTTGACATTGGTACTCGTGTTCGCATTAGATCGCCTTTAAATGGCGACACGTACTTGGATGGGCGTCTTGTAAGGCGTTGTGGTTTTGGATAAACAGCAGCAGGTAGGAGGGGCTCATCATCAATGGTGCTATCAGGTCGTAGAACCTATGCTCATCCCCAAACAGTAAAATTGTAGTAAGCAGCTTGATAAAAATACAATAAATGGGGAATGAACGTGTGGAAGGCACCTCATTAGGAAGCTGATGTTGGGTCTGTGTAAGCACAGCAGGCTCTGACGTCACCGTGTCGGTTGTTGTAGTTTGTGGGTGGGCAGCAGGTCCGAATTTTTTACAATTTAGCCTTTTTTTGAAAGTTTCTCATAAATAGACCCCTGGCGAGAAAGAATTCAGAAAATGAACCCTTATCTCGGCGCCATTGATGCTGGTGCTGAGCTAGGCGCCAGCATCTCTGGCGCCGAGCTCTTGGGCACGGTGGATGACCTGCCAGAGGGCTCGGCGCCATTCACTCTGGCGCCGAGTTCGGCGCCGTAGATCTTGGCGCCGAGCTCGGCGCCATAGTGACTGGTGCCGAGCTCCCTGTATTTAACCCCGGCCCAACCTTCCTGTCCGAGCGTTCTTCCTCTTATTTCTCCTTCCTCTTGGGTTTTTTCTCTCCCCACTTCACCCTACCTCACGAATCGGCATATTGGACATTGAAAACCTTGATTTGATCCGTAGATATTCGAGAGCAAGGTATCCACACTCCCCTCCTAATTTTTTTCACATCGATTCGGTATATATTAGTCGGATTTTTCAACCTAAGAATCGTCATCACTTAGGGTTTCATTGTATCCCTCAATATATGTATTATACAACCGTAGGATGATGCCAAGGCGTGGAAAAAGCTAACAAACCTAGGCACATGTAGTTATGTTATGGGTTCATTGTTGTGCATCAAATGGAAAACCCTAGGTTTAGGATTCAATGTTAACTACTTTCGGTTCTTAGAACGAAATTGGTTGTACTGTAGTTATGGTTCTCATTGACATTTATTTGTGATGTTTTGATTTATGTTTGTTAAATTACATTCGTTTTGTTAGATGCAAGAAATATTTCGGGAGGAGTTTTGGCGAAAATGGGGTCGTCCTCGAGAATTATACCCCGACGCGTCTATATCATCAGTACAGAAATGAGGAAAGAATGAAAGAAATAGATGTAAGGAACGGGGTAAGCTCCCAAAAACCATGCGGTTAAGACACTTACTCGGATGATTCTGTGTCAAAGGGATCTCATAAGGAGGATCTGCCACAGAAACATGAGTCTGACAACCATCTCCAAATACCGCATTGGGGGCAGATTAAGCATCGGGAACCGTAGGTGCAATCTGCACATGCAGATAAGGTTGTAGAACGGGAGGGTCGATGTGTGCCTGATGATCCATTGCTGGGGTAAACCCATGAGAGATGGGATCAATTAACACCCGACGCACAACCATGTCCAAACGTTGCAGCTGGCTCTTCATAGCCAATCTCATATAGTTCTCCCACTGATCCGCACAACCAATTGAGATCATTCGCCTGAAGATGTTCGGAGGAGAATCTAGGTGCAGTACTCCATCAACTGCAATGCCATCATCTCCAAAGCAATGCAGCTCCTCCCGAGCCCTTGCAACCATCTTACTAAATGAAGGCCTATCATTGAATAGCACATGCACGCTTTGCATGTCAAGAAACTCAACATATCCATAGCGATCGCTTTCAACGGTGCCTCCATGATATATGGTCACTAGGTTGTCCATCTAGTTTAAACACGTAACGAAACACATGTCCTTTAGTCCAAATTAGATGATAGATAGTACCTAACAAGTACTTTCTAACTACAAACTAAGTAATCAAGATAATAACTACGTATATATTTACAGTGTACTCACTAAATAGCTAAATCATATGTAGTTAACTAAATATGTAACTACATATCTAAATAGCTATCTAACTATATCTATGTACCTATGTATCTATGTTTCTATCTATCTACATATATATATCTCACTAGATCACTAACTAAATCAACTACCTGAGTCATCACATTAACTAGTAAATAACAAATGCCAACTAAGTAGGTACATTGCATATTCATAATTTTTACCTTTCCGGGCCGGCGGACAATGGGTGTGGGTCAGGCCAACGATCCGGGCCGGCAGTGTCACGGCCGGCCGCTGTAGGTGGCGGGGTCGGCGGTGGCGCGCGGCGGGCGCGGGATGCCCGGGGCTCCGCGCGGCGAGTCCGGCTCGACGAGCGCGGGAGGCACGTCGGCGATGGACGGCGGCAAGGCGGGCCGTGACCGAGGCCGACGGTGGAGGCCAAGACGAGGCTAAGGCGACGACGGCGGTGGAGGGCGACGGAGGCGGCACGGCGCGGCGCCTTCACGGGGCGCGGCGCTCCTGCACGCCGAGGCGTGGCGCGGCGCAGGGCGGGCGAGGTGGCGCGGCGTGGGCGCAGGAGCAGGCGCGGCGGTGCGGGCGCGGTGGCGCGGGCTTGGGCGGCCGGTGGAGGCAAGGGCGCGGGCGGCGGCGGCGGAGCTCGGCTATCCTAGGGCGAGAGAGGGAGATGAAGAGAGGAAAGGCGCGGGCCCAATAGGTATTAAAGGCTCGGCGCCAGACTGAATGGCGCCGAGCCCTCTGGCAGGTCATCCACCGTGCCCAGGAGCTCGGCGCCAAAGACGCTGGCGCCTAGCTCGGGTCTATTTCTTTCCAACATGGGTCTATTTGTGAGAAACTTTCAAAAAAAGGCTAAAATGTAGAAAATTCGGGCAGCAGGTAGGAGGGGTTCATCGTCAATGGTGGGATCAGATCGTAGAATCTGCGCTCATCCCCAAATAGTAATAAGAAAGTGAAAAGAGCGAAAAGAAGTGAAATAATAAGAAAGAGTGAAAAGAAGTTGTTCAAAATAAGTGCTAATTAATAAGAAAGAGTGAAAAGAAGGAACCATTATGGTAAGAATGTAATGGGATGCTGATTGGGAAAAAGTACATCCATATGAACAAAATGGCAAAAAAATATAGTACACAGAACAAACAAAAATTAATAATTTAGTCACAACAGTATACCTTCATAGGTGGTTCCGTGCGAGGGGCATTTTTCTTCTGCGGTTTTTCATCTCTGCGTGCATTGACAACAACATTTATAGTACGGCGTTGATTATTGTTCGTTACCGGGTGCCTAGTTGGGGGTTGCATGAAGTTGTCATCATCATCGTCCTCCTCTGAACGAGGGTGTGCCGATGGTCCCGGACAATGTGGTGGCTGCTGATGAACTGGTTGAGGTGGTAGTGTCTGAGATACACCAATGACGTCACTTATATTAATGTTGAAATCTTCATGTGTGGTGTGCAGGGTGAATGATTTCAATCTCCCCTGAACAAGTTTAGGAGGCCTTATTTCCTATGAAAGAATCAATAGTAAGCCATGTGGTAAGCATACGTTGCAGTAATAAATATTTACGAGAATTTGTACTGAGAAATTTTTACAAGATTTTGCACTAAGAATAGTTACGAGAACTTACAGTAATATTTACGAGACATGTGGACAGTTGAAGGGTCGAGATGGCGGACTAGAGGGGGGGTGAATAGTCTTTTCTAAAATTAATCGCGTCGGCTAACCGATATAAATGCGGAATTAAAACAATCGGTCTAGCCAAGACTACACCCCTCTATATATGTTCACTAGCACCTTGCAAAGATACTAATAAAGCAACTAAGGTGCCGGGCTAGCTAGAGCTCTCCTAAACAATTCTAGGAGCAAGGTCACACAAACCTATGCCACTAGTACTTTAAGTAACAAGGGAGCTCCTACACATGCTAGTAAGCAAAAGCACAAAGCTAACTAAGCTCACTAGCAATGCTCAATAACAAGGCAACCAACGCCTAATTAGAGAGCGCAAATACTTAGCTACACAAACTAAGCAATGTGACTAACAAGGTTACTAAAACCAAATTAGCCACGCAAGGAAGCTACTTCTATGCTACACAAGCAAGAAGGTAATTAGCTAGCTACACAAGCTATCTAATTACAAGAGCAACTACACAAGCTTAAGATATATATATAAGTAATTGCAAGCTTGTGTAATGGGGATGCAAACCAACGGGAAGAACAAGGTTGACACGATGATTTTTCTCCCGAGGTTCACGTGTTTGCCAACACGCTAGTCCCTGTTGTGTCGACCGCTCACTTGGTGGTTCGGGCGGCTAATTAGCATCACCCGCTAAGCCCGCACGTCGGGCACCGCAAGAACCTACCCCTTGAGTGAGGGTAGCTCAATGACACGCTTTACTAAGGTTGCTCTTTGCGACTCCAGCAGGCAGCACAATGCCCCTCACAAGCACTTCTCCGGGCGCCGCACAAGCTTCTTGCGGCTTCGACGGAGACCACCACTAAGCCGTCTAGGAGGTGGCAACCTCCAAGAGTAACAAGCACCACCGGCTCGCAACTCGATCACCTAGTGCCACTCGATGCAACCTCACGATGCAATCGCACTAGAATCGCTCACTCACACAATCGAATGATCACTATCAAGTATATGTGTGATGGAGGGCTCCCAAGCACTCACAAGCATGGACACTAAGTCCCTTGAGGTGCTCAACACCAGCCATGGCCGAGGGCCACTTCATTTATAGCCCCAAAGGCTAAACTAGCCGCTACCCCTTCATCTGGCAGCGGTCGGGCCGGCCGGACGCGCTCGGTCGTGTTGACCGGACGCTGACCTCGGCGT